GGATTCGTGAAGGAGGGAAAGAGGTGGAAAATGAAAGAGAAACTATGAAGGAGAACAGCGGAAAGAGAGAATGAGGCGACGAGAGAAAGAGAGAGTGTGAGGAAGAGGGTCGGAGAGCTCGGGAGAAGGGTTGTAACAAGAAGGAAGGGGAGAGGGCGATCGGGCCGCCGGTGTCTCTGCTTGGAATTTATAACCCAATGATATCATTTTGTACCCCGGCGAAGCCAAGCCACCCCCGGCACACCGACCCTGGGCGAAGCGGAGCCACGGCAGAGTGGCTGACATCATGGTATATTGCTCTCAGTGATGCTCAAACACTTTCCACTTCGAGTGCTTATGTGCCGTCACATTGATAAATCTCGGCGGCTTGAAAGATCGCAGCGTTATTTATACCTGGATGTATTTAAAGGATATTCTTATATATGTTATCGCTGTAAGATCTTTTTTCATAATTAGGAATTATTCATTATATAATTTAGGCTAATAATAAAATAATTATCGAATTAATAATGTAGAAATTAATAAAATATTTTAAATATAAAATTTACAATAAAAACTTATGTTAATTATTATTATAATAAAATTAAATCTATGTAATATGATCGAGAAAATTGTATGATATGCAATTTCGCTTTTGAATATAAAAACAAAGAAGTGACGGTCATACCGGAAGCTTAAAAAGTTGTAAATGTGATCCTATGCAAATGGAGATTCCTCAATGGGACACCGGTATTTATTGCGTTCAATGTACAAGAAAGTCGTTAAAGAGAGCTGACCGTGTTGGCAACCATCCTGGTAGAGAATTGTCGAGCAGCGCGGTGCGGGCCGCTGCGAGGGAGAGAAGAAGAGGTGGTGGAGGGTTGAAAAGAGGGATTCAGTAGAGGAGGCCAAGGAACAAGCGTACCAACCCGGAATAAATAAAATCCTCCGCGCCACTGAATGGTAAGGGGTGTTATTTCCAACCCTCCCGAGCCCCTTTTGTGCCACCGAACTATCGTCGAAGTCGAAGAGCCGTTGTACTCCGACACGTTCGGCCCGATTCTCTTTGATCACTGCGAGATCGCGATAACTTCGTTCGCGTGGTAAAGACTCGAGAAATTTGTTAGAAAAACTGGGTTTTATCTCGATATAAGCAAGTATCATATTATAAAATCAATCATATCTTCTAGATTCAATTATAAAACAGCAAATATTTTTCCATACTGAATTGTGGTAATAAAGTTCTCAGTTTATTTCTCTATACATAAATAAGAACACTGTTTTATTTCTTGTTACATAAAATAAGTTTAAAAAGTTTTTATAAAATTTATAATCTTTTCTCCTTCATATTCATATTCATAAATTAAATTTATAGAAAAAGAAAGTATAAAATGAGACAAGACAAAGTCCATAAGATGAAAATTGCAGTTGTCTCTTATCAAATAAAAAAAGGAGAATTATAAAACGATGTATCAGAGAGATAGATCGTAAGTAAACGTTTCAAATTTCATGGACAATCAAGATTTGATTTGTACAGCAACTGGGAGAATTCGTTCACAATGACAGCAAAATCCACGAGATACCTGCGTTCTACGTTCCTCCCCTTTCTCTCGCGTTTCCTGTCTCATTGGTATGCTCGTTTCGGCGTTTCGGGGGATAGCTCGCGGGGGGATTTGGAAAGAGTGGATGTGTTGGTACCTTCATTGGCGTCGCAGGGGCTCCAGGAGGGCGGCGCGAGATAGCTTAAACTTAGCATTCACAAACCAACGCGCCGCGGCAACCACGGAGGTGGAGGAGGAGGAGGAGGACGCGAGAACGACAGAGGAGGAAACTGAATGAGAGAAGCAGAGATCGAGATGAGAGAAGCGGGCCAATTCCACTCTCTTTCTTTCCGTGTCTTTGCGCTTCGCGGCAGCCAACCAGGCAAAAAGAAGAAACTGACGCGGCGGCGGGTGGAGACGAGAACCTTGGAATCCGCGGCGGGAAGAAGGGGGACAGGCACTTGGGCGAAATTCGAGCGAGTAGAGTGAAGGGAAATAAGACCGAGGAACAAGGAGCGCGGAACGGAGCGTGGATCCTTCGTTTCCCCGCATCCCATTGATTTACATCTTGTCTTGGCATAGATAGGAAGAAAAGACGGAGGAAGAAGCCTGCGCGAGAGAGGAGCGAGCAGTCGAGGGGGTGGCCGCGCGATATCAGCCGTTTGTATGCGCGGCCGACGCCAAACTTTGCTGAATTGCCCTATGACTCCATATATCCCATTCTACCGTTGCGCCCTCTTGCAACCCTCTTACGATTCCGCCCCGTCACGGCTCCCGAGTCGTTATGCCGATCTCGAAGAAAACTGACCCCACCCCTCGCCGGAAGGGCGCCGCACGAGAGAAACAACACGCCGCGAGCATTCGAATAGCAATGCCTCGAACGTGAGTCGCTCGGAAAGTCGATTTTGATCGACAAACGTTGAAAGCTTATGCACGTGAATCATATCAGCCGTGAAAAATCGATGCGTTGAATAAATGAGGGCGTTTAATGTGCGCACCGGGCTTTTTAATTATCGTCCGTTAATTAATTATCATATTTTCTGCGAGTGCTTTGTTAGCACGGTGAAGGCTGGCTGCAATTACTGTCGGGGAATATAGCAGCTAAATGCAAAATTAAATAACAAAAAAACTGCACGTCGGGCCAATTGCTGTTTACGGGCAAATCGAATTATCGTGTAAATGCTCGTGCAGTTTCACAATTAAATATGCAGACGATATCGATGCCCTGTTCCGCATAAATTATCTCTTCAACGGTACTGATTAATTGATAATATTTATGGATCATACTTACTATTGTACTCGCCAGGATCACTAGGGTCCAGGCGTTTCGCCCTGCGTCCGTGCTTGCTATTATTGTGGACGAACATGTTATCCGAGACCGCGAGCAATGGTCCTTCTACTCCCACTTGCGTAGATATGACCACCTGTTAGACAAAATCGAAATTTGTCGATGTAAAAGAAGTATAAGGCACGAGTGACGATTAATGTAAAAATAAAATAATTAATTAATGTAATAAATTAATAATAAAATTATTCTGTATTTATATGTACTAATAAAACTTGAAACGCGCATTTGAGAGTATTTTTGAAAATTAAATCAATTAAACGACAAGCTCCGCAACATTTAATACTTTTTAAAAAATGTAAGGGTATAATTTAATATTTGAAAAGAAAATTACTAAATTAACGTCGATCATTGTAAAGTTTACGTAGTGTATCGTTTATATCTGGCTTAGTGTAGCGTAGAAAGGTGTGCCGTGCGATAGATGCTACCGTGAATAATATTGCATTTCTCTCATGCGCGTCATACATCGAGCCAAGTTCATCATATCTCCCGTGAACGAGCATGCACAACTCGATTTGCTGCATTGGATACTACTGCAATTCGTGACTTTCACGTACGACGTATGAAGCAGACATAATCGCGCGAGACTATGGAGTATAGTCACATTAAGATATATAATCATCCTTAATATAACATTATAATTTTATATGTTATTAATATAATATTAAAATTAATATAAAATACAATAAGTAAGTTACGAGATTTTTAATAAACTAAACAAAATTACTTGCTTAAACATTCACGTCGTTCTTCGCATACGTTTTGGGGCGTTGAACAGATTTTTGCGGTAAAGTAGGAAGAACGTTTATAAAATCGAGCGAGCGGCTGGAAAATGCCCGAAAGTTTTGTCCTTCGCAACTTCGCAACTTTCTCGCGTGCTGGTGATATTACTCGGCGAGCAACACCACCGCCAACTTAGAGTAAAGCGACGATAACCTACGCTTTGCTGCCCCACGGAGGGAAAAATTTTCGTGAAGATTGCACTAAAAAAATTTTAATTCGCAACTTTGAGCAGTAAGCAATTCAGAAACAAATTCGAAAGTACGATGAGTATTCTAATTTCAGTTTGTCATTGTTTCTGACGTATAAAAAGAGGAAAAATAAAAGAATCAAACGATATAAAAAGAAGTGAGTCACACAGAGGATATTAAGCTCTCTTTCACCACAGATTTTATTTATTTTTTAATTTTAGCTTTTGTTTGCTGGGGAGTAGAAGAAGGGATATGATTTTCGGTAAGTAGGAATTGTAAGGGAGGGAACGAGAGAATGCGGAACTGATTCAGAGGGATTACGTTTCACTGAGAGCTAATTGGTAATTTCCGGATTACATTTGCTTAATGGAAAATTCGATCAATTGAATTATTATTAAATTAGAGTATTCGTTTTTATTTTTTTGTAAATATAAATTTCATATTCATATTTTATTATTTATGGAGTAATAATAGTAAAATTTCTCAAATATGTAAAATCTCAAAAATTGCGAGAAGAACGATGTTTTCTGCGATAGTAGGCATCACGCGACGTTGTGGCGGAATTTCGGCATTCTCGTCTCCGTCTGTCCGCCCCTATAATTTCGCGGATCGTGACTTGAATGACGGAAGTGTGTGTCTCGCGTAGTGTGCATTTCAGCATTGCAGCACGAACGTCTTTGAATTAAGTGGGTGGAAAGCTGGAAGCGATTAACTGTATCTCAAACAGAGCCGTAAATCGCGTCAGATAAATTATGTTATGAATATGAGATTGTTTTCGTATCTTTTCGTATACTACAATGAAAATTTTTTTCTTATTATTGTCAATATATTGATATTAAAAAATAAAGAAATCCATTAATGGATTAAATAATATTTATCTCTCTGATAAGATGTTTCAGTTTTGAAAATTTAATTAAAACCGTTTGATGTATAAAAATAACATTAAATTTATTAAACATGGATCATACAGGTTTATATTTAAGATAGATTTATGTTTAGATGGTAAGTACAAGCAACTTACCTGGAAACGCCTCATGTCACGTGGATTGCCAGCGTTCTTGAGACAGTTTTGGTTACATTTTAGAAAGAACTTGAGGAAGAATCTGCAAGCAGAGAGGGGACGCAGAGTTAAACGGTTGACAAGGTGCTTAACGCTCTTCAACGCCAGGAACTTAATTAGAACGCGAACTTGGCCGGAAAGCAAGGCTGAATATTGTATAAGCCAATCGCGAGCCCCGTTCCACTGTCATCTATTATTCAGCATTTCTCTAGATTAAACTCCCGACGTGCTTCTCGACCTTTAGGCCCGTGCGGCATTGTGTACTACACAAAATATGTGCGTACTTCATTGTCCCGACACAATGTTAAAGGACAGTTTTAAAATATATTTTTACAAGAAAAAAATTATTATTTTAATTCTAAGTTCTTTTTATTTTATATTTTATTTTAAACAGAGCGTAATATAAAAAAATTATCTATATATTTATTGAAAATATTGTTATAAACATTTCAATGCACTGTGACAAATCAAAGGACAAATAATTATTTTGAAAGAAATTTACGTATAATATATTTTTCAATATTAGTTATAGGAAAAAGACATTAATAAGCACATTTTCAAGATATTGAAAATGTCATGAAACCATGTTATGTTATGTTATTTACTTATAAATATTTACGGAAAAATTACATAAGATAAAATTTTGGGATATAAAAGTATATGTGTAGGAATTCTGCCAAAAAGCCTTCGGCTCAATTTTCATGAATTATGTAAATCACTAAGAATATTGAATTTCAAGTATTTTTTTTATGCATCTCACTTACTATGAGGTTTGTGCTTACATAGATGGAAGGGTTTGACTGAGGGAGAATTTGGAGATCAGGTAACCGAACGCCAGACCGAGAAGGATCGAAAAAGCGAAGGAAATGTGTAGGAAACAATCAGGAGGGCTGAGACAACGCCGATGACGACGCTAGCAAGAAGGAGGGGTTTACTACGTAGCTGGTAGGCTTTTTGTCCCATGGGACGCCATTGTCATTTCCTCCGAACAGTGCGTCTATGGTACGTATTGGAGACGTCATGCAAAAAATCAAACACGTATCTTAAAATAATGCTTTTCTGTACTTTTGCTTATATTTATCACTTAGAGGATATCAAAATTGCGAATAGATCATGATTAGTATAAGATTCTATAAGTAAATTTTGTGTTCAATTTAATTTTTGTCTCAAATATCTTTAGTGTCTATTAAGATATGCATAAAAGAAAATAAAAGATGTTTAGTAATTTCTTCAAAGAATAGCGCAGAAGATTTTAATTACATAGTTCATAAAATTTTTGAACTAACACGATATTATGATTCACGAAAGTATCTAATCCACTTGTTAAAAATTCATAAAGCTCGAAAGTGAAAAGCAAAAACGAAACAGCGGCGCGCGAAAGAGAATGTCGACTGAGTCGAAGCGAAGGATGAAGGGCGAGACGATGTACGAGAGGGTGGGAAATTCGGTGATACAGAAAGAGAAAGGGAAAGAAACGTATCGATCTCGTGTTACATACGTTTTCGCATCCAGGCATGGGATATTCAGGTGGATATTCGCGCGAGAGAGTTCAGTCTAATGTCGCGCGCGTTTCCTGCGCGCTCGCGGAGTCGAGCGAATTTAATTTCGTTTACTCTTAGAGAACGTTAAGATGTTATCGCGATGCTGGATGGGTATTCAAAGCATTGTACCTTGGCTTATCGCGGCCGTGGATCTTGCTCTAAACACGGTATCTTCGTCGCGCCTGAGGCGTCGCTCGACTACGCTACCTGTAATCGTTTACAGATAGGAATACCATCGACCGTACTTGCACCTACGATATTGCGAGAACAGCGCGAAGACGCCCCTTTAACGACGCCGACGACAACGGAAACGAGTCGGCAACCGCTCTTGAATCGAGAACGTTTCACTTTGTATCTATATTGAAATCGTGTGTGTCACACTGTTATTTAATAAAACGCGCTAGCGACAGAATATCTACATTGCATTTATTCCGATCATTCGATAAGATAATGTATACTTAAATTATACTTACTTAAATACTTTACATACATTTTTCAAAGTATTTCACAATTATTAATACAAGCCGCGGAGAAACAAAAATAAAAAAAAAGAGACAAAATATTAAAAAAAATGATATTATCTGTTTGGAAAAGTCCATAGTAATTGAAATATTCCGGCCAGCGCGTTTTGCACCCATCGCTTCTAGCAAAGAAATCGGGCGATCCGCTTTCAGAGAATTTGACGCTAACAAAATGACCCTACTTACGCGGGAGAGTTCTATGAGGAGGGAGGAAGGGCGCACTTGCTCAGGATCGGCAAAGGAAAGATAGGTGGGCTATAGATCTTCGCTTTTTTTTTATGGGATTCGTTCATCGGCAACACTAATCATTTACGACGCTCCCGTCGCGCCATTGCCGTGCCACTTTATTCCTCTTTCTTTTTTCGTTACACGAGGTCGTTTCCTTCCGCGCGTCCTCGAAGTATTGGCTGTTAGGGGCTAATGGATTGCGTTACCGACTGATTCAAATGCGAACTGGATTTCATTCCGGACTCGATGGGGCGGCAGTATCGATGGTGTCGTAACGCGAACGCGTGCAAGAAGAAGGGCTAGTTTCTTACAGGGGATCAAATTCGATTCCGATAGTCTATTAGATTTTTCTCTTCCGTTGGCGGCCTTCGCGAATTCGTGGCAGTCTCTTCGAAAAAAACCTACTATTTCGAATCACCGTTCAGGACATCCAATAGATACACTTTACACTTGGAACATTACTTCGAATTATCTTTATTTCAATTATAAGATACTTTTTCAAGTATAAATTTCTAATTATATAAGTATAAGCATACGCAATATGTGCGAATATATATTTATATAAATATATATTCTTCGATTTTTCAAATTATTTTTATTTAATCTGTTAATCATTAAAATAGTTATATAAAACATAATATTTCATTTTTTAACATTCAAATTAATATTATACAAATTCATAAATTTTATTAATAATTAAAGTTTTATTTTCAAATGTTACAGAAAATGTATTTCACTTTATTAAGTAAATATTATCGTCGATTAAAATATTATTTACATATGAAAAAAGCTTATTTTTTAATTTTATTTTATGGCATTATAATCTTAAGCTAACTTTATATTTTTATTGCAATTTGCTTGACGTCTTTGGTTGTTCGCGTTCGCTAACGAATTGACACGGAGGGAAATATACAGAAGCGATTCGATTGCAAAATCATACCTAGTCTACCCTTTGGAGCTTGCATACCTTTCCATTCCCTCGGATCAAATAGAATAAAACGAAGTAGTAGGCGAAGTGAGGGTTGGTAGCTGCAACGGGACTGCAGGGGAGCGTGGTGGCTTGTAGTAGAAAACGTTCGTATCGTTCGCTGTTTCCAGTTTTACAGCAAGCAACTTTGCAACGTCGGAGCGGATGAACGAGTGAGTGAGGAAAAAATCAACGGTATAAATGAAAAAAAAAGGCTAAACATCGGAGGCCCGCGAAGGGCGAGAGTTGTACGAGCAGCAAACGAGTAAACAGAGTCGAATGAATTCAATCAAACCTTGCAGTAAATCATCGGTATTCGCACGGTAGTTTTGTTTATATTTTCCGTGTACCAATTAGCGATTTTTCTCGCCGTACCGTAACGCCGATGTTCTTTTCTCCGTGGAAACCATCGACACAACGACCAAAAAAAAATTTTCACGCTTTTACCCTGATGGACGTGATTTATAGATAAAGTTTCTTTGTTCCAGTGATAAAGTTTACAACTTATAAAGTTACAATTTATATGTTAATTATATATACATTCATATGTATGTGTAGTACAAAAAATTTGAAGGATAATGATAAAATTGCAAAGACTCCCCCTTTTTCTTGTTTACATGCCACCCGGTACGGCATTCGCGGGTGCCAAGTCGCAAGTAAGTACCTTCTGATCTAGTAAATATATTTCCAGCAGGGGCTGAATGGATATAGGGAGCTTACTTGGGGACTCACGCGTAATAGTTCCAAATAGGGTGGCATTACGCGTATCAGAAATCCATTTTCTCCCACACCGGAGAATCTTTAATCATGTTTTCGGTTCTCTCTGTACGCCTCTCTTCTTTGACACCATAAAAGAGCGGATATAATGTGGCGAAAATTCAACGGAAGAGATCCGTAATGATGCGTCTTGTTTCTTTTCGCTGTATTTATGCTTGATCTTTTGTGTAAAAAAAAAAAAAACAGGAATTATTACTGACGAGTCTCGGTGTTTTAATTGTAATCCGCACCGAATTTTTACGTGATCAGAAAAAAACATCACATATTGAGAAGGGTCTGCTTACACAACAGAATCTTTTCGAATAGGCGTGCCCAATAGTGTGCTAATCACCTACTAATGTGTCTGAGTCATTACATCTTGGCAACTAGTGCCAGGGGATAGCTTCATTACCATTTTTTTAGTCCCTAGAATTAGAATCTAAACATCCTGTTATTAGGAAAAAAATATCAAAATACTACAAAAATTATTCTGTTGAAGATTGTTAAATAATCAATTAGATAATGAATTTTGTTCATAAGAAATGAATAACGAAAAAACGATAATTTTGGAATTGTTTATGTATGAAAAAATTATATTTATTTTATTTATAAAAAGGCAAAAAATGTTTAATAAAATAATTATAAAAATGTAAAATTAATATGTGTCTGTTATGTAATCGAAGAGAATAGTATATCGGTAGTGTAACAAGTGCAACGCAAACTTCCATCTCGAAACAACTTTTGTAAGCAATACCGATAATTTCTACTCGATCGGATATATTTAAGTAAGAGAATGCTCGGGAGTAATCACGAGTGCATAATGCAGACGAGGAAGACGTCAATTAGTAAGAATGTGTACGAAGGTCCGTAAGGTATAGGAAACCACCTAGAGCTGTATACCTTGCATACACCTTAACCAGGGTTAGTAAGAGGTTAGCGAGGTATCTGGGGATGCTTAATGTTTAACTAGCCTCCATTACGCCACTGACTCCCTAGCATCCTCCCTCTCCCTTTCCACACTGCCGTCATC